GCAGTGGGGGTGGAGATTGGGATGTCTCTGTCCTGGACTTTGATGAATACAGAGAGGACCATCCCCACCAGCTCTCTGTCTGTATGCCACAGTAGCTCCACGAGGCTTGGTGTCAGGCTCTGCATGCTGTCAGCCTGTGTGGAACACAATGGTGTGCTGTGAAGCCACGAATCATGGAATCCTAGAATATCCCGAGTTGGAAGTGACCCACAAGGATCATTGAGTCCAACTCCTGGCCCTGCACAGGACCATGCCCAACAATCCCATCGTGTCCCTGAGAGTGTTGTCCTTGAGCCCTGGCAGCCTTGGGGCTGTGCCCTCTTCCCAGTGGGGCCTGTTCCAGTGCCAGAGCACCCTTCACCTCTGAGTGAAGAACCTTTCCCTACTCCCCAAGCTAAACCTCCCCTTGGCCCAGCCAAGCCCAAGCGATTGCGCTCCCCAGCCCCAGGCTGCCGGCACAGCTTCAGCCAATTGCCCCCTCCTCACCATCCCAGGAGCCTTGCTCAGCACCACGAGGCCTCTCAGCACCAGGCGACGCATCTCTGTGTGCTCGCTCCACAGGCGCCTGGAAAGGATCTCCAGGACGCTGTCACGCCATTCAGTTATGTCCGGGCAGTCCAGGATCTGAAAGGCACGGAGCAGTGACGGGATACCCGGCCGGCAGGAGCCCAGACCCGCACACGGCTGGGCCCAGGCAGCAGCACAGGGCACGGCACCGTCCCCGGCAGCTGCGGCTGCGAGAGGGCAGAGAGGTGGAGGGGGGTCAGCAAGGCAGCGCTCGCCATCAGGCTCACCTCCACAAGGAACGCCATGGCAGGAAGCTCCCAGCCGGGCTTCTCCCTGCTGAGCAGCCTCAGCAGGCCGAGGGCAATCGGGTAGTACAAGGGGCTCGAGGCACGGCGCATCTCCCTGCCCGGGGGAAACAGGCACCATCAACCCTGAGCCGGGTGGGCCAACCTCTCCCGGGACTCACTGACACAGTCCTGGTCTTTCCCCAGCACCCCAGCAGGGGACTAGGGCGCTCTGGGAGGCGGCTCCTCCTGTGCACCTGCCTCTCCCAGCCTTTGCCACTCTGCTTGCCCATCCCTGGGTGACAAGGCCCTCTGGCCCACGACCACGGGCACTGTGTGGGGTGCCTCGTGCACAGGCAGAAAGGGCAGGGGCAGTGGGGACAAGGGGGTCTCACCTGGCCAGCAGACCCACTGCGTAGTGGTGAGTGTCAGAGTTGAGGAGTGTGTCCCAGCCATGCTTCTGTTCCATTGAAAGCACGACATCTTCACACTCAATGTGACAAAGCAGGGCCTTCATGGTCAGCACTGCAAACCTGGGTGCAGAGCAAAGCCCGGGTCATGCTGGGAGCCCTGAGCAGCCCTGAGGGCATGAGAAGGTCAGGAGGACTGGGACTGAGCACCTCTTGGAGTTTGTTGGAAGGTTGTATTGCTTCTGGCATTCCCTCCACAAGGTGTCAACTTCCTCTGGAGTCTGCTCTGGGCTGATGGAAATCTGGAAGAGCAGATCCACGAGGAGGTGGGGGGAATACTTTTTCAATGGCTCTGGGCCCCGGAGCACCTGGAGAATCTCGCAAATCACCCTGGTTGCCTGCAAAAGATAAAGCACCCGGACACAGCTGTCAGTGCCCAGATGTCCATGTGAAAGAGCCCAGGTGTGGGAGGGAGAGGCCAGGGAAGACGCGGGGGCAGCCCCCAGCCTGGTGCCCCTGAACCCGCCCCTAAGCCAGGTTTCCAGCCCAGTGCCTGAGGCAGGGAGATGCAATGCTCTGCTCGGGGAGGATGGAGAGCTGCTGGAGAAGTGACCTGTGGGCAAGTAAAGTCCTTTCCAGAAACTCACAGCCAGGGCAAAGACATCTGTTTTGTCCCCGTCGGAGGTGGACATGCTCAGCCATGGCCAGTTCTCCATCACACGGAGCAGCTTTGGCAGCACCTTCTCCACTGTCCTTCCCGATGAGGTGATGGTCTTCCACAGGGTTGCAGCAGCTCTGCAGGGCCAGAGTTCTGTGTCAGGGGGGCACTGGCCAAAGTGCCTTGAGGAGCAGGGAGGGACCATGGCAGCAGGATGGGGGCTGACATGGCAGGGCTGGGAAACAGAGGCTCCAGATGGTCCTGGAACTCTCCGTCCCTCTGGCAGACCATGTGGGACGGGATGGACAGGGTGATGGGCTCTGAAGGCTGGTGAGCCCTGAGCCCCGAAGGCAGGAACGCCCTGTACCTGTCACACGATGGGGCACAGCGCAGGAGGGTGAACACAGCATCAGCAGGGTGTTCATCAGTAACCCTCAGAAACTCCGTCAGCAGCTTCTCTTCTGGAGTCGCGCTGGCTGTCAGTCTCTGGTGCACGTTCCTGACAAAGGCTGGCACCTGGAGGAGGCATGGGGGAAGAGCTGCCAACTTGCCCAGCTTCCCTGACAAGTGCTTCCCTTCCCACCACACTGTGCTGGCCTCAAAGGCTGAGAGGGCCCAGGGGAGCTGGCTTGAGGGGCCACAAGCCCCTGGAGTGGCTTGAGCCTTGGGCACAGGCTGCTTACTTGCTCTGGACTGGAGACACCATTCTCAAAAACATCTGGAGTGGGAGCATAATTCACACTCTCCCTGGGCACGAGGTCAGTGTCTGCAGTGCCCTCGGTCATTGCAGTGTCGGCCTCAGCAGTGAGATCGGGCGGTGCAGCGCCAGAGTTTGTGGGTTCCTCGGTCAGTGGGATGTCAGAGATTGCAGTGCCATCGATGGATGGGCTGTCAGTGTCTGTTGTAGCAGCAGTCAAAGCAGGGTCAGACTTTGTTGTGTGAACAACTGGCAGGGTATCACAGTTTCCTGTGCCATCAGTCAGTGCGGTGGTGACATCGGGGTTTGCCTCGAGCTCAGTCAGGCTGGGGTCAGGCTGTGCCATGACCTCAGTCGGTCTGGTTGTGGTCCTTTTGCGCCGAATGCCCAAGAATTTGAGAAAGGCCTGCAGAAGAACGGAGAGCAGGGAAGAGAGGGATGTGCCATGGTGAGCTCCGCCGGCGGTGCCAGGCTGAGCAGGGACAGCAGGCCCAGCCCAGGAGGCCGTGGCTGCAGGTACCTGGGCTGCCCGGCGGAAGCGTCCACGGGCACGGTCCTGGTCTCGTGTCTGGTCCTGTCCTGGATCTGGCAAAGAGTGAGCACAGTCAGAGCTGAGGGGCTGCGGGACAGGCCGGAGAACACGGCCCAGCCCTGCACTCCACAGGCAGGGCCAGCCCCGGCATGGTCAGTGCATGGAGCTGCCGGGGGAACAGTCCTGGGCCCTCTTCCCCCCTCCCTTTCCCTGGCCATGTCCACAGGGGATGGGGTGGGATGAGGCAGAGCCGGCTGCAGCCACCAGCCCTGTGGCCCAGCTGTGCCACTCACCCTCCTGCAGGGGATGCAACTGCTCCATCTTCTCCGGGTGCTGGGTTGGGGCAGCTCCAGGTCCTTCCTTCTTCTTCTTCCGAAAGTGCCTGAGCAGGCTCAGGCGTCTTCCCGCCATCCCACAGCCTGGTCTTGAAGCCACCTGCAAAAGAAAGACACCTCGGAAGATCTCCGGGTTACTAAGTCCGGCAGGCTGCCCTCGAGGCCACCTACCGCAGGGATTGGAGACTCCGGAAAATTTCCGGGTCCCCAATCCTGCGGTCTGGCCTCGAGGGCACCTGAAAGAAAGAAAAGCCTAATAAACGGTATGGGTCAGCAAGTCCTGCAGTCTGGGCTCAAGGACACCTGAAAGACAAGAAAAGCCTAGCAAACACTAGGGGTTAGCAAGTGCGGCCTCGAGGGCAGCTGCCGCAGGGACTGGGGACACCTCGCAGAAGCTCCGTGTCCCCAGGTCCCGCAGTCCGGCCTCGAGGACGCTCGCAGCACGGGAAATCCACCAAAA